TCCAGATGACTTCAACTTTAGGTGGAGAATTTAAGAATTTCTGCTTATGAATAAAGAACTTTGAGTTTAAAAAAAAAAAAGAGATACTCAATAAGTCAGTGAAAAGTTTGGTGCACGAGTCCGTCATCATTTTCAGTCATTTTACAATCAGCTCTGAGAAGTAGCTTCTAACATCATCTTGTCAAATTGCAAATGTCCACTTCATCCCTATTTCAAACACACCTGATCCCTTGTCCTCACTTTTCTATACCATGCAAATCTTAGGCAGAGTCATTTAATTTAAACGCCACAAACACATAAAACAGCACAGAGTATTTTGTGTACATGAACACGCCGAAGTCTTAACAAACTTGGAAAAAGTGAATTTTCCCGAGGAGCACGTGAACGCACAGGAAGAGTGTGAGCACGGAGACATAAGAAGACACAGACACAGGTAATAAACAAACCCAGAGACTTTACATCAGCGGGACATGAGCACTGTTTTATTATGAGATGTCGAACAGAACAGAGCCATCCATCACTTCAGCTGTTTATTCTCCATCACGTCATCACAACTCTGTCTTGTTTTAAAGTGATGAGTTAGTGTGTGGACATCAGAGCTGTCTCTCTGCAGAGTTTTAGAAACAGATCTTCATTAAAACACACGAAACAACATCACACTTCCAAGACCAGGTTTGCAGACAGTGGAAAATAAACTTTATAAAGTGGCACATTTTAGTTGTTGCTGCGCTTCAAGGGACAGATCACCCCAAAATGAAAATGCACTCATTATCTACTCACCACTATGGGGGAGGGGGTGGGTAAAGTGCTTGAGTCCACAAAACACTGTTTCAGGGGTAAACAGTGCTGCAGCCAAATCCAATACAGTTGAAGTAAATGGTGACAGAGTCTTCAAACGTATTATGCAAACATGTTGTGGGGGGTTTTCTGTTGTTTATATACGTTTGAGGAGTCACCATTTCCTTCAATTGTACTGGATCTGTCTGCAACGCTGTTTACCCCTGAAACTCCAAAAGTTTTAGAGTTGGAACAATGAGTGAATTTTTATTTTAGGGTGAACTATCCCTTTAACACACCCTGAAACCAGCAGCAGCTAAAACACATTGAGATCATGCAGCTGCAACATGAGTGAGAGTTTGTGTTATATGTGTTGTAAGTCATGGTACAGTGATGTAGACAAAAATCCAGCCTCAGACTGAAAGACATGAATCTGGAAACACTATAACATAGAACTGGGCATTCAAATTATCGCAACATAATTTTTATCAGCAGCAACAGGCGTCTAATATGGGCTACATTGATGATTATTGCTTATGCATTGTGTAAACACAGTGAGGAGGTATAACATATACTTATATAACCAAAAAATCTGTCTTTAAACCAGATGATATTTACGGTGATAATTATCAATATCTATCATTTTATCTTGATATCATTTTTGGCCACATCATCCACTATGACACAATGCCACACTAACAAACGTTCACATTCTGAGCTCTATGTTGCCAGGCTTTTTTGCATTTTCCGGGCTGTTCTGAGGACCGCCAGCATATTCACTTTATCCCCAAACTCCTTCTCACGGTGCTCCAGGAGAATACCCTGAGAGGAAAAATAAAAAACACACAATCATAACACAAGAAAACACCCAGATCCACTTGTCAGATAATATGAATTCTACCAAACCTGATCTTCGGGTCCAATGACGAAGACTCCACCCAGGACAAGTCCTTCACCTCTCAGGTTTCCCCTGAAGCCCCTTCGATAAGCCCGCCACAGGTTCCTCCACACACCAACACGCAGGAACATGGAGAGAAACATCCATCGTTTTTGTGGGCCATAGAAATTTCTCTGTGAGAAAAATATAAAAGCAGCTTATTGGCTCACACTATGTAACCCCTCCATGTGTGACTTAATATCCTAAAGGCATGTGTAGGGGAGGGGCTTTACAAAAACAGACCTGTTGATCCACGTAGACTTTCCCAGAGAAGTACTTCTTGAAGCTGTCCAGCTCTTTGCCAAGGTTTTCTTTCACCACAGCAAAAAGCGGGACTTCAAGGTCCTGCAGCTGGGACTTGAGAGAGGACAGCTCAGCGGCCTCCTGCAAAGACAGAAGCACAAATAGCATAAATCACCAGTGAGGGGAATACAGAGCTCAGGCTTGTGATTTCATACCTCTCTGCACAATAATCATCCAGGTCGTCGTACAACCACGACCACAGCTCCAGTCTTCTCCCACAGGGTTTTGGCTTTGTGTTTTTCATGGACTAAAAAAAACAGAAGATAAAGAAAAGATAAAGACGTCCATAGTCAGTGGGTTAATAACTGTTGAAGATAATCTGAGGTGCCAAATGCAGGGTTTTGATCATCTCAGGGATTAACTTTGTTTTGAGTATTCATGAATGTCATTTGCTTATTTTGTGTCAAATCAATAAAATTCCTGTTTAGATGGGTTTACTTTTTTATTTTCTGTTTTTGTAAAAATGTCTTCCTGTTTGTGATCAATTTAAAGATCCATTCCTGATGCACTTCCTGTAGAAGTGAGGGGAACAAAATCCTCAACGTAAACTCAAAAATGTACCTGAAGTTAACATGGGTTAGATAAATCAAGTTGTCAGTCTAGTACAAAATTCTCTCTTCTTTATTGCGTTTGAGCTGTGGTGGACGGACAGTAGCACAAAGAGAGAAGTAATTTGAAGAATATGTGATGTAGTTTCTACTTGATTCTGTGGCCTGGCTCACCTCCTCCTGTGGTCTTCAGCTCTGTGTCCTCCAGCACCTCCAGGTTGGCCCATGCTGGTTTGGTCTGGAACCAGTCGGTGATCGAGCTGATGAGCTCTGTGACAAACAGGCCCAAAAACTGCAGGACCGTGGTCACAGTCACCATCACCTTAAACTCACTCCACAGGCCACCTACAGAGAAATCATGTAAAAAACCTAACTCAACTTTAAACAAAAAGAAAAATACCGCTAAGATAAAATCATAACGTGTAGAAAGGTGATACTCACCCGACTGTGGCTTGCTGCTGATGTGGAGGAATCTAAAGTTTTCTACCCGACCCTTTAAGCCCTCTTAACTCAGATCAGTGCAGCCACAGTGAAAGGCTCGTTTATGTGAACGTAACACTAGAGGAATTTTTCTCCGACTGCTGTGAAACAAGGCTCGTGTTGAGCTGGATCCTCGGTACCAGGTTCAGCATGGCGCAGAGTGCAGTTCTCATCAAAGAGCAATGCAAACCTTCATTTCACAAATTTTTAATGTTTATTTCATCCGTTATGTTGTTCAAGCTTTTAATATGATAAAACACTATTTGTAATTCAGTATTTGAAAGTGATACCTATCAAGACAACCCCTCTTTCCCCTGATTT